CCTCGGGACGCCCGTGGGGCGGCGGGCAGGGCGGACGCACAGCTCGGGGGACGGGGCCGCTCTTCGTCTTTGAGCAGTGCCAGGGCTCTGGGCTGGGCTGCGTGGAAGGAGAGCCGGGAACAGGGCAGGACGGCGGTCCTGGGACGACCCCCCAAAGGGCTGAGCGGGGATCACTCCTTAGGGATCGAACACGGGGACCTTCAGCCCTGGGCAGCAGGTTTGCGTCAGTCGATCGGGTAATGAGCACCAGGGCTCTTGCTGGGGTGATGGAGGCTTTCTAAAACTGGGTTATGGTTGCCTAAGTCAGTAAATTTACTAAGAATTGTTAATTACTACATTTAAAATCGGTTACTATTTACGTAAAATATATCTCCATAAAGTCTTTGTTTAAATTGATCTGGGAAGGAGGCGACAGAGGAAAGGAGAGGGACTGGCATCCTGCTTTTGGAATCCACTTAGCAAATGTCTGTTGCCTCTGTTCTAGGTGCTGAGAGACAGCAGCGTCTGTTCCCACCAACAGCCCTGCCTGGGAGCTTCTGTCTTAGAGGGGCACTTTCCGAAATAAGAAGAAGGGACTTCAGAAGGCTCAGGAAAGAATGAAATTAAAGTGCAAGTTTACGGGCCAGCAGGTGGCAGTTGGGGTGCTGGACCTCAGTTTGAGTCCCATACCTGGTGGCTTGCCTTCTCACTTCCTGCCTGCCCCTCCCTCTCTCCCTCTCTCCCTCTCTCTTTCTCTCTTTCTCTCTCTCTTTGGTGAGTGTCTGTATTGATTTTTAAAATAATAGCAATGAGAGGGGCCAGCAGATGGCATAATGGTTACATCACTGGACTCCCATGTAGTTGACAGTGGTTCAAGTCCCAGACATGGCAGCTTGAAACTCATGCTGGGGGGCCGGCCGGTGGTCTGGTGGTTGAGGCACTGGACCCCCCACGTGGACGGCCACAGTTTAAGTCCTGGACCTGGTGGCTTACTTTCTCACTCTCCCTTTCTCTTTCTCCCTGTCTCTTTCTGGCTAAAAAATAATAATAACAAATGGAATTAAATAATAAGTGACTTAAAAAAAAAAAAGAAAAACCTCACACTGGGCATGTGTGCATCCCGAGAGGAGAATGGAGAAGGGATTGTGGTGTCGTGGTGTTGCCCTCCCTCTCCCCGCAGAGTGATTTCTTGCTTTGTCTCTCTGATGAACCCATGTGCCCTATAGCAAAAATCTCTCTATAAACTTTTTTTTAAAAAGAAAAAGATAAAAAAGTTAATTAAAAAAAAAAAGTATAAGTTTTTTTTACCAGAGTGTAAAAGAGAGCAAGAGAACCTCCCAATGGGATGTGGTCACACCCCAGCCCCTTCTCCATTTCTCTATTCTGTCAGGACTTGGGGCATGCACACAGGGTGCTCAGCAAATATTTTAAGCCTCCAGGGCTGAAGTTCCTTTTTTTTTTTTTTAAGAATTATTTTATTTAACTTTGTTTTTTTGTTTTGTTTTGTTTTGTTTTTAAACTTGACCAGAGAGGGACAGAGCAAGAGAGAGAGAGAGAAAGGGAAAGTGAGAGAGCATGCCACCAGGTCTGGGACTGGAACCGCGGTCAGCCACATGGGAGTCCAACACCATTAACCACACCACCTTCTGACCTCCTAGGGCTGAAATTCTAACTGCTTTTAGTCATGTGGGCCCTGGCTCCTTTGTCTATCGGGCCACAGGGCTCACCCGCAAGTTTATTTTGATGAAAAAAAAATTGAAATTCATGCATCATTTTTTTTCATAATATATGTTTTCTGTGAACTTTTTGAAGACCCCTTGTACAAGTTCCTAAGCGCCAGCCACATGCGTACTTTTGTTTTCTGGTAGCTGTGCTTTTTTAAAAAGTGAAAAAACTGATTAATTTTGGTGTGTGTATATGTGTATGTATATATTTAAACATTTATTTATTCTATTTGTTGTGGTTTTCAAGCTATCAGGTCTGGGTCTTGAACCACAGTCAACAATGTGGGAATTCAGCACCCTAACCACTATGCCACCTGCTGACTCCAATTTTGATATATTTAACCACAGTATTATTTCAACGTTATCAATATAAAAATTGTTAAGAAATTTACTGTTTTGGGGGCCAGCAGTTAGTGTAATGCCTATGTCGCTGGACTCCCATGTAGATGACTGCGGTTCGCGTCCCAGACCCGGTGGCTTGAAACTCATGCCAGGCGCATGTGCATGCGTGCCCAAGATCCCAAGAGGAGAACGGAGGAAAAGGGATTGCGGTGT